TCTCTTAGCTTATTTTTTACCGAGAAAAATTCTTTGCATACCTTATGTACGGGGTCATTATGCGAGAAGTCATTTGACCCCTTATGGTAAGATAAGTATATATAAAATGCCGGTACGTTTAGTGTTAAATAATGGATTATTAATTTTTATTTAACTTGTACAAATCAACTGAAAAAGTTATTTAAAACATATTATTTTAGCCGACAGGTTGGAACACTTGTATTTTCACAAATATGAAATCGAAAGATTGCTGTTTTAATTTTTAAATACAACGTGATTCCGTTTATCGAGAGATACAAGAGTATTATATTCTTACGTTAAAATTTCGTATTGTTCGAAAATATTCGTAAGTAATATTCGCTTCAATCTCAGAGAGAAATCACCGATACTTCATTATATTACATTGACATGAATGCCGTTTGAGTCTGTTAATGGCAATGTCGTGGAAGTTTGAATCGCAGTTCGAAAGTTAGTTCGATTGAGGTTGAATCATTTTCAAAGTAGTCATAGAAACGCGACGGACGCGGTTCGTATCGCACTTGTCTTTTTAACGTGACACGACAGTTCGTATGCAGCTGTTAAACTATGCCGATGTGCTAATTGTCGTGATATTCGATCTTTATAAGAGGTTAAAAAATGGATCGGAAGTATCAGAGAGTAGAAATGGGAGTGGGTGCGTTTCACCACCCACCCAGAGCAAAATACAGCGAGGAAACAAAAAATTTGATCAAACGTAAGCAGATTTATGAAAAACTCAGTTAAACAGACTTTAAATATTTTATTCGAAAGAGAGACTTTAATGTTTTATCATTTTATATATATATATATATATATTTCAAATATAAGATTGTTATCGCAAGGAAAATCTAATGAATTTTATTCTTCCGTCCTAATATTAATTTATGTTAATTTTCTTTCTTGAATTTACATTTTATGAATTCGCGATCGTAGTTCTAATGGAAGAATCCAAAATGAGTATGATGAAACGAAAGTCTATTCAGCAAGCGATTAATAAAGGTGAAGCCTTGCCCGTTGCCGTGCAGAAATCGAAGGCTGGATCGAACAAGCACAATTTACAATACCAGGTAATGTCGATGAATTAAGATTACCGAGAAGAAAGAAAATGAAATTAACAAAATCCATATACATAGGTTTTGATGCCTACTGTCTGGAAGAAACGATCGCAAGACATGATTATCGAAAGTGGTGCGTACGAAAGGGAACAATATAGAAGAACATCTCCTTTACGTAAGTTTACATCGATTTAATTTAATATCTCAATAATAACATATTTATAATTTCAGTGATGATTTATGAAATTTTATAAAATAATTATTCGCGTAATCAGATAATATTAAAAGTTGATATTCCTCTAATTCAGGAGATCAAGTTTAAGACGATAAATTTTATAAAAAAATTAACCTATTTAATAGGCAATAAGGAGAAGCAAAAGCGTCATTTAGCATGTATGATGGCATACGGAAAGGATATACCAGAAACTCCTCGTGGGCCAAGGATTCTTCATAAAGCAAGACGAGAGCCAAATTCTGATACTACCGATCCGATCGATGAGTGTAAGTAGCAAAAATAATTACTATGTTTCTGTTCTAATATATTCTTTCTTTTTTCTTTTTTTTTTTCAGTGGTGCGTGGAATTCAAGAAAGAATGGAATTTTTAAGCGACATGCAATGTCTCGGAATGGACAAAAAGTATCGTCCTATAATACAGCAAGAAGTGGCACATAAATTACGATTGATCGAATCTGTGGACAAGCAGAGGTCCAAGGAAATTCGAAAAGAAATTAGAGAACTTGAGAAACCATTGCCAAAACCACTACCTTTGGGACAGCTTGACGATAATTAATTTTCTAATTCATGGTCTTTTATGCATAACTAATTTACTATTTTTTATCAAGTTTTACAGGACTTATTATAGAGTATTTTAGATGAGACAAATGATACAAAACAAAACAAATACTAGTATCCGCTTCAGGAGAAAGAAACATGTATTTAAGGTAAAAGAAAAATATTTTTGAAAATTCAAACGATATATGCACGATGTAACATTATATTGCAATAAAACTTCATTTGTATGAAATTCATATAATTATAATTACATAGCAGAGATTCACTGATTGTCACCAGTACTTGTGATACTTTTTCTGTACATGCGAACTTTCAATTGTTCATTCATTAAATAACTAAAATTTCATTCAATTACATGGTTCTATTGCACATATTTTTTACATAAGTTCGACAGATATTTATAATATAATACAAAATATTTATATAACAATATAATAATTTACGTGCAAGTACAATATTTAACACGTAACGTCTTGTACAGTGTTACTCTAAATTACGCAAAACTTCAAACGAATACGAATTTCCCGCGCATGGAGTCGATAGTGTAAGTGGGACGTTGTGAGAGGGCGCATGCGCGGCGGGAGAAATAAGAGCGGCCCGGTGAGTGAAATCGGTGGTGGTCCTCAGTTTTGCGCCACACGGCAATGGCGTATGTTGTTGGTGTTTTTGTGTTGCCGTTAGTACAGATCATATTGTCACTCTATCAGAATACGCAACGCGAGTGCAGATAAAACAACAAAAGGCGATCCGTGGGACGTGACTGTATTTCCGAAAAGGCGATCCGCGGTGCAACAATCTCGCAGGATCCCGGATGATCTACAAGTGATCCAATATGGCGTCGACCGATCTGTCGTTCGGTAAATGATGAACCTGTGTACCGTACGCACCTTTGACAAGGTCTTCCCGAGGTCGTCCGGTTTTTAAGACCAACGTGTATTCCTTTTAACGTTGCCGAGCGCCACTAACACCATCCCTCATTCTCTTCCTATAACAACAACAGTATTTACGCGTTGTCTTCCGTTTCGTACAATTTCGTTACTCGCTCTTTATGAATTAAACGCAAACGGATTTTTAAACGTTGCACGTCGTATGCGTTCTTAGTAGGTTTTAGAATACCAACGTGAAAAATGATCGCGTTCGGCTGTAAAATAAAAGATATTACGGGCACGTGTAAGCTAGACAAATTTATTAAAATTGAACGCTGATTATCAGTACGCATTGTTGCTATTTACTAATCTAAGGTTAACACGCGTTTACGCAATAACAGTCCTCGTTTGCATAAATCCTCCCACCCTGGTAAATACGCTGTCATAGTCATCGGTCCGTGCGCGTTGCAACACTTGTCTTTTCCCCCCCCCCTCCGAGGAGAAGTGAAATTTGTCCCACGAAGTGTGATATTGTCTTTTGATTTTGGTTCTTGCCGCGGCACCAAACCAGGCTGCATACCGGCATTCTACAGAGAAGTCTACGAGAAGATCTGCTCAGCCACGAGCGGAAACGTGGAACGAGAAGTGTTTAAATCCCTCCTTGTCAAGTCTCAGCTGAGCAGCTCCGTTCTCAGCCAGGTAGGCTTCCTTCTTTTTTTTGTTTCGTTCTCGTTTCTTTCACTCGTCTTTCGCCGAGTCGAGCCAACCACCGTGTACCACATATAGCAGAGAGAAGAGAGAGTAGTGCCGTGCCTTTAACTTTGTAATTTCTTCGCACGCCGCGCGCTCAGGTTAATGCCACCGCTATATAATGCTACGCGTTAACTCCTCTTCCGTATTGGATCGCGGTTAATCATTCAACGCATACTGGATGAGGAACGCGTATCCAATTAATTGCGTATATCGCCATTAAGCCGTTCGCGCGGCAGTCATTATGTATATTTTGTGGACAAGATGCACTTAGGCAATGCACTGTGGAAATGACATGGCGGTATGGTAGTAAAGAGAAAAATGAAAAATATAACGAACTATTTATTAATAATAAATTTTCCAAAAAAAAACTTTAGTACAAAAGATTGTGTGTGTGTGTGTGTGTATATATATATATATATATACTATTACTATTTATTAATAATAAATTTTCCAAAAAAAACTTTAGTATAAGTAAAAGATTGTATGTGTGTGTGTATACACACACACACACACACACACACACACACACACACACA